CCAACAGATGACATCAAAGCTTTGCTGTCCTGCAACTCATAGGAGGAGGAGGTTCCTGAAATATCCACATCCTCAATAATGGAAGAAGCCCAGCACACCAGTGTAAAGGATAAGCCTATGGTATTTGCAACAATCTCAAGCCAGAAAGGCTGAGCAGGTGATCCATCTCAGCCTTTTCTAGAGGCTTAAAGCTTCACAAATGCCAGTTTGATTCCGTCATGATATAAGGAAATAATTGAAAGCACACAGGGTACTGAAAAGGCAATGGGCTCTGACAATATTGTAGCAATAGTACTGAAGATTTGTGCTCCAGAAATTTCCACACCCCTAGTGAAGCTATTCCAGTAGAGTCATAACTCTTGCATCTTCCTGAAAATATGGGTAAGTTCTATATAGAAAAGGCAGGACAAATCCAATCCAGCCAATTACTGCCTCATTAGTCATTTCTTGATTATTTGTAAAGTGACACAAGGAGTCCTCAGCAATGCAATCAAACAACACTTGCTGAGTAATAACAATAACAAAACGCTGGAGAAACACAGCAGGTTTTGCAGCATCAGTAGAGAGAAAAATGGAGTTCACACTTTGAGTCCAGCAACCCTTTGTTGCCCCTTAAGTAGTCCATGACCAACTGCAGCAAGAACTGGATAATATTCAGATTTGGGCTGAAAAGTAGCAACTAATATTCATGCCATGCAAGTGCCAGGCAATGACTATTTCTAATGAGAAAATCTAGCCATTGTCCCCTTTACATTTGATTACATCATTGTGGCTGAACCCATCAATATCTATCCTGTGAGGTACCATTGGCCAGAAACAGAATTGAACCAGTCATGTAAATACTGTGGTTAGAAGAGCAGGTTAGAGGTTAGGAACACTGCAGCAATTAGATCACTTCCGGACTCCCTAGAGTCTGTCCACCGTCTACAAGGCACAAGTCAGGAGAGTGACAGAATACTCCCCACTTATTTAGCTGTTGCAGCTCCAACAACACTCGAAAACCCTTACAACATCCAGAATAAAGCAACATGTTTGGCACAACATCCTTAAATATTCACTGATACACTGATATACAGTAGTGACAGTGTACCATCTACAAGTTACACTTCATTAAAGGTCTTTAGAAAGCATCATCTAAACCTACAGCCAACAATAAGGACAAGGGCAACAGGTATAGAGTAGCGCACACCCCATGCAATTTCCTTTCCGAGTCAGTCGTTACCCTGACTTGGAAATTTATCACTGTTCCTTCAATGTTGTAAGGTGAAAATCGTAGCATTCCCTCTTTGACAGGTTTATGGGGGTACTACACGAAGTGGACTGCAGTAGTTCAAGAATGCAGTTCACCATCACTTTCTTGATGGCAAGTAGGAATGGGCACTAAATAAGCCAACGTTGTCAGAATGAATAAAAACAAATGTGATTAATAGTCCAGTGACATGTATGAGCGAAGATGTGGTTTGAACTCAAGATTATGTACTGAATTAACTGATTTATGTCACATCAGAATATAATTACCATCAGCATCTCTAAATTTTGGACAGTTAATGGCTCTCTAGTTCGGGAGGATGGGGACAATTGTATGGACTGTCCTGATGAAGTGTTTAAATCTGAAATGTTGTTTGACTCCTGTCTCTCCTCAGAAGCTGCCTGCCTACTCCCGAGTTTTCTTAACATTTTCTTTTCTGTCCCCATTTTCCACTTTCTAGCAGATGCAGCATTATTGGAGAGAGGTGCGAATGTTAGCGAGAGCAGGACTAAGCTTGGGCATGATGCTCACAATTGAACAGCTTGTTACTCAGCAAAAATCAGGAAGTGGAATTTTCTGTATGTAAGCACTTGGCACTGTCCTTCAGTTTCAAATGGATCATATATTCCTAATGCTGGGAAAACAATGTACTTTGTTTGGCTATTGACATTTCCTACAGAGATGACAACAACGAGCACAAAAGGAATCAAACAATTACTTTTAAGCCCCACATGAAAACCCTAGAGTTATTCTGGCATTGTGGGTAATTGGAGCCAGAAGTTGCAGGTTGAAGACCTAGAGTCGGATTTGATGGCCAAGGAAAATACGTTGATCATGCAAACAGTTGAATGTCAACCTGCAGATCCTTTAAAAACATGCCAATTGTAGGTTGCAAGAACAAAAGAAATCCTTAGTGCCATGTCAGAAAGAATATTGGATCCTCTACCATTACTATAAATAGTTCCAGGATACGACATGTAAAAATGCATGTTGCCACAGCAATTTGCAAGCCCTCAATAAGTTGTTAACTTGTCACCATCATCACATTAACCCTGGAGTCATAAAATCATGAGGGATATAAACAATGGAAAAAAAGAAGTTTCACATAAGAAAAATTGAGAAGAAGAGGATACTAGTAGAAGGTAATTGAAAGAAGAGCCAACAGTGGAATAAGGTTTTTTTTTCATTTTCCCATGCAGCAGTATGAAAAAAGGTTGGAGGTAGATTCAAGTGTCGTTCTCAAAAGGAAATTGGAGAAGAAACTGAACGGGAAAACATGCAGAGTTGGGGACTAGGATTTATTAAAATAAAAGCAAACTACTGGACATGCTGGTAACCCAAAATGAAGACAGAAGTGCTGGGGAAACTCAGCAGGGGTGGCAGCATCAGCAGAGAAATAGAGTTAATGTTTCGAGCCTTCTTCTGCCGATGTGACTCTTCTTCCGAATTGAAGTTCAATTAAATCTTTCTATCTCTCCACAGATGCTGCCAGCTTTGATGAGTTTCCCCAGCACATGCTGTTTTTACTTCAGATTTCAGGAATCCACAGTGTTTTGCTTTTATTTGAGTGCATAGCACTGTATTAGATCAACTCAGCTTCATAGGGGTCTACAGTACAGAAAAAGGTACTTCGGCCAATCAAGACTGTCCTAGTCAAAAACAACCACCAAACTTGGGGGTACTTGTACATGAAACACAGAAAGCTGGTACATAGGTGCAGCAGGTAATCAAGAAGGCTAATGGAATGTTGGCCCTTATTTTGAGGTGGTTAGAGTCATATAGCACAGAAACAGACCCTCCAGTCCAACACATCAGCACTCACCAGATGTTCCAATCTGATCTAGTCCCATTTGCCAGCATTTGTCTCATATCTCTCTAAATCCTTCTTCTTCATATACTGATCCCAATGTCTTTTAAATGTAGAATTTGGATCTGCCTCCTCTACTTTCTCTGGCAGCTCATACACGCACCACCCACTGCATGAAAAAGCTACCCCTGAGGTCCATTTTAAATCTTTCCTCTCACTTTAAACCTATGTCCTCTAGCTTTGGACTCCGCAAGCTTAGGAAAAAGTCTTTTGCTATTCACCCGATCCATGCCCCTCATGATTTTATAAACTTCTATTAGGTCATCCCTCAGTCTCCAAAGCTCCAAGGAAAATAGCCCCAGTCTATTCAGCCTTTCCCTATAGCTCAAATCCCCCATCCCTGGCAACCTCCTTGTAAATCTTTGCTACACCTTCTCAAGTATAACAACATTCTTCCTATAGAAGGGTGACCAGAATTGGACGTAGTTTTCTAAAAGAGGCCTCAACAATGTTTTGTACACCTGCAACATGATATCCCAAATCCTATACTCAATGTTATCACCAATGAAGGCAAGCATGCCAAATATTTTCTTCATCACTCTGTCTACCTGCAATTCCACTTTCAAGGAACTATGCACCATAGTTCTCTTTGTTCGGCAGCATTCCCCAGGGCCCTACCATTAAGTGCATAAGTCCTGCCCTGGTTTGCTTTACCAAAATGCAACACTTCACATTTATCTAAATTATACTCCACCTGCTGCTCTTGGCCCATTCAACGTCCCTTTGTCCTCTGAGGTAATCTTCTTCACTGCCCAATACACCACCTATTTTAGTGTCATTATAAGAGTGAGGAAGTTTTACTGCAACTGTCTAAGGAGCTGGTGAGACAAGATCTGGAGTACTGTGAGCATTTCTGGGCCCCATAAAGGAAAAATATCATTTCATTGGAGACAGTTCAGAGAAGGTTCATGAAGGTGATCCCTGGTATGGAGGGATTGTTTTATGAGCAAAGGGTAACCAGGTTGAGACTTTATTCACCGGAGTTTAGATACATGAAAGGTGAGCTAGTTAAAACATATAGGATTCTTAAGGGGCTTAACAGGGTAAACGCTGAAAGGATGTTTCCTCTCATGGGAGAGTCTAGGACCAGAGGACATAGTATCAGAGTAAGGGGGCGCCAATTTAAGATTGAGCTGAGGAAGAATTTCTTCTCTCAGAGTTGAGAGTCTTTGGAACTCCTTGCCACAGAGGTCTGTGGAGGCAGAGGTCCTTGTGATTATTTAATGTTAAGATAAGTGGATTCTTGATCAATGTGGGAATCAAGGCATACAGGGAAAAAGCAGGAAAGTGAACATGGGGGGTGTACCGAAAAAACTGCAGATGCCGTAAATCAGGAACAAAAACAAAGTTGCTGGCAAAGCTGAGCAGGTCTGGCAGCTTCTGTGAAGGAAAAAAGAGTTAACGTTACGGGTCCGGTGACCCTTCCTCAGAATGGATGTACGATCAGACATAATACTATTGAACGGTGGAGCAAGCTCGACGGGCCAAGCAGCCTAGTCCTGTTCCTATTTCTTTTAAATATTCTAATCCCATTTACCAGCGCTGGGCCCATAGCCTTGACATCGCAAGTCCAATGTGACTGTTCCGAAGAAGTAGGATGCTAATCGTTAACTCTCTTTCTGCGTCCACAGACGAGGCCAGATCTGTTGAGTTTGTATTTCTAGCACTCTCAGAGAGCTGGCACGGCCAGAGAGGGCCGAGTGGTTACCTCGTTCCCAGTGGAGCGCGCGGAGGGGGTGGAGACCAGGAGCCGCGCGACTGTACGGATTGACATCACGTTTCTCCATTCACAGACCGATCCAGCCCGTGGGCCCCGCCTCCAGGACAGCCGGGTCCAATGAAGAGCGAGTGGGGCGTGACCTGAAACACCGGTGCTTGGTTACAGAATGTAACAGAGAGTCGGGTCCGCGTGAGGATGGAGGCGGCGGGCGGGGGCTCGGCACCGCCATCGCGTCCTAAGGAGCTCTGTCGAAACCAGCGGAGAGACTCGGAGGTGAGTATCAATTTCGGCCGTGGTCTCGCAGACGGACACCAGCTGGTGACAGTGTCTAATAATAGACAGGCGCTATTTGCAGGGAGAGCAGGTGCCGTTTCTTCCCGGTCTGTCACTCGGATCCTGCTCCACACGCCAACTGGAGCAAGTGGCACTCAGCGATGGTAATAAGCCAGACTAGGTTCAGGATTGACCCATACAACTTTCTCATACAAAACAAAGTCTGCGAACTGCTCAAGTTTTCTGTTTAATAACAAAACCGGGTTTGACCAACTTTTCAAGATTCTGAACTAAGAAAGTGTACAGCGCTTTCACGACCAATTGTCTAAAAATGCTCGACAGGACATTTGAAGTGCGAATGAAGAAAGGCTGCTGGACCCGAGGCGTTAACTCTGCTTTCTCGCCACGGAGGCTAGCGGACTTTCAGGGTTTTTCCAGCAATTTCCGTTTTTGCGCCTCTGTATTTAGTTCCCCTTTTCTGTCTGTCCAACTCTCCCACAACGGGATTGAAAGAGTGATGTGTCTCAGACTTCTGTCTACCCTGTGCCGAAGAATTCTCACTGCCTCCTTTGGGTGAATATGGGTATCACTCTGTATCCCTTCGATCCACGTCATATGCAGTTGACATCTGCACTGTATATTAGAGTATGTGCTAATAAAGTGCATAATTTCTGAATGAATTACTTCGCTGTGTTTACTGCAGACTACACCAGTGGTGAGTGAATGTCTGCGTTTGCAGCAGTCACATTAATGTCACTTCTCATTTGTCCCTTTTTAAGGGGATTAAGGGCTGGTGGGAAGTGGACAACAAGCTTCTACCTGTGACTGCCATGAAGATTGTAGCATCGTTGTTGAAATTGGAAGGAAATCAACTTCCGGAAAGAAATAAAGTTGACAACGTGCTTATTTCCCGAGTCACTGTGATCCCTTAAAATCTGTGCCTCCGTGTCCCGTGTGTCTATGTCATGGCTTAAATGACATAGGAACAGGAAGCAGTCACACACAGTTGGAGTCTCTTTTTTGCCATTTAATTAAATCAAGGATTATCTGTATCTCATTCTCATTTACTCACGAATGTTCCATAATCCTTAATGCCCTTATCCAACAAAAATCTATTGACCTAGCTTAGTCTCCATGATACTACCAGTCTCTGAACTGATATCATGATGAAATGCCACTTTGGGTGGTGATTAATTTCTGGCAGTTTTTTTTAAAATTTCAATTGACATAAAATTGATAAACAAGAGAAGAAGCAGACTGTGTAATATAACTGATTTGGTTCACTCCATGTGATTTCAAGAAATGGTTGGAGGTACTGGATACTGCAAAGGCTGTGGGCCCTGACAACATTCCATCAATAGTACTGAAGACCTGTGCTCCAGAAATGCCACTCCACTAGCCAAGCTGTTCCAGTACAATTACAACAGTGGTATCTATCTGACAATGTGGAAAATTGCCCAGGTATGTCCTGTACATAAAAAGCAGGACAAATCCAATTACCACCCATCAAATTACTCTGTCATCAGTAAAGTGATGAAAAGTGTCCTCAACAGTGCTATCAAACAGTACCTGCTCAGCAATAACCTGTTCAGTGATGCCCAGTTTGGTTCTGCCAGAGCCACTCAGCTCCTGACCTCATTACTACCTTGTTTCAAACATGGACAACAGAGGTGAATTCTAGAGGTGAGGTGAGAGTGACAGCTCCTGACGTTAAAGCTGCATTCAACCGAGTGTGGTATCCAGGAGCTCTAGCAAAGCTGGATGGGTAGCAGGGGAAAATTCTTTGCTGGTTGGAGTCATACGTGGCACATAGGAAGATAGTTGTGGTTGTTGGAGGTCAGTCATCTCAGCTCCAAGACACCTCTGCAGGAGTTCCTCAGGGTATGTCCTAGGCCTGAACACTTTCAGCTGTTTCATCAATGACCTTCCCTCCATCACAAGGTCAGAAGTGGGGATGTTCAGCACCATTCACAACTTATCATGTCTGAATGACGTTGCACTTGTTTCGAATGCAGTAAGATCTGGATAATATCCAGGCTTGGGCTGACAAGTGGCAAGTAACATTTGTGCCACACAAATGCCAGCTACGACCATCTCCAATTAGAAATAATCTAATGACCACCCTTTGACATTCAATGGTGTTACTATCATTAAATCCCTCACTGCCAGCAGCTTGGAGATTACCATTGACCAGAAACTCAACTCGACTCACCACATAAACACAGTGGCTCCAAGACCAGGTATACTGTGGTGAACAACTCCCCTGACTCTCAAAAGCCTGTCCATCATCTAGAAGGCACAAGTCAGTAGTATGATGGAATATTCCCCACTTGCCTGGAATGGGTGCATTTCCAACAACACCCCAGAAGCTTGACACCATCCAGGACAAAGCTGCCCGATTAGCTGCATTGATTAACAACACGTCCACTAATGCTCAGTAGCAGCAGCAGTGTGTACTATCTACAAGATGTACTGCAAAAATTCATGAAAGATCCTTAGACTGCACCTTCCAAACTTATAACCGCTTCAAAGTAGAAGGACAAGGGCAGCAGATACATAGGAACACCATCACCTACCAGTTCCTCTCCAAACCACTCACCATCCTGACTTGGAAATATGTCGCTGTTCCTTCACTGTAACTGGGTCAAAATCCTGGAATTCCCTCCCTAAGGGCATTGTGGGTCAACCTATGTGGTCCACAACAGTTCAAAAAGGCAGCACACCACCTTCTCGAGGGCAACTTGGCATGGGCACTAAATACTGGCCAGCCAGCAACACCCACGTCCCACGAGTGAACAACAGAAAACATAAAAGTTACGTGCTCTGCAGTAGTCCTTGACTTACATACTTGAGGCCCAAGAAGAAACTTTCCAGAGCCTTCCTCTAGAAACATCATTGCTTAATTAGAATGAATCATACATGATCAGGTTGCTGGCATGCTTCAAGAGTTCCTCCTGTGCAGATCCTAAAGCAGGGGCACAAATGGGCTTAAGGGACTAAATGGTTTCCAATTTCAGTCCTTACCTCCCTGAATTAAAATTGTCAAATGTATTACTTGTCATTAATACTTTAAAGCCATAAGGTGGTAGAGCTGGAACCAACAGAATGCTTCTCTTTCCAATTTTTAGGGTTCCTTGGATTTTCCTAACCTAGAGTTTGAATATGGAGATTCGGACAGCATTGTTGCTGAACTGTCGGGTAAGATGACTTGTCCATCGCTACTCTGTACATTTTAGTATTCTGCTTCAGTCACCAAAATGAATTTATTTTTTGGTAAGGCCTTTCATTTCAGCAGCTGCAGTGAGTCCTGTATCTCTTTAATGCTGCTGATTTGGAGATGTTTTCACACCAGCTGATGCATTTGGCAACAATGAATGTGCTGAATGAGAAGAAAAACTAACTTGTATCCATGTACCGCCTATTTGTGGGAAAGGGAGAATTTGTGTTTATATGATGTTTTTCATTTTTGAGGTGTCCCAGCCACTTCAGTCAATGAAAGGCTTTTGAAATAAAGTCATTATTATAACACGCCAAACGTGATGGCCAATATTCACACAGCAAGATCCCAAAAAACAGCAATGTGATAAATGACAGGATAAACTTTCATTTCTATTGCCCTTTTGATGTGGGCGTAGTCACAATCCACTTCAGGAGGGCTCTGTCATCAAGTCATGTATGGAAATATTAAGACAGTTGACCAAAAGTTTTGTTGAAGAGGGAGGTTTGAAAGAGCTATCCAAAGAGGAAAGGGACAGAAATTTAGGAGTTAGTTCCAGAACATGTAGCATTGACTAGGATAGTAGAAGTTTTTTTATTCTTGCATGTCAGGGTAGCAGCACCTTAGTTTAATGTTTCCTCTGAAAGACAGAATTTCCAACAGTGGTGGAGAGAGCTATCATGCTGGCAGAAAGCATTGGTTTAGAATGGCATCATGGTCAGTGTAGACATGGTGGGCAGAAAGGTCTGTTCCTGTGCTGTCCAGTTCTACGTATATATAAATGCTGCCTTCGTGCCTGTTAGTGATATTGCTGAGAGGCTATATGTAACTGAGAAACAGGAGGGGCCGAGAAAGGAATTTTATAACAAACCACGGGTAAATATATGGCAGGGGGAGACACTTCCAAGAGATCTATGGACTACAGTGAAAAGTAGAGTGGAAGCCATAACGTTTATGCCACTCAAATGTACCCTTCAGTCCACCCCCATTGAGGAGTGTGATGTTTGTAAAAAGAATGAGATCCAGCAGTAACAACAGGCCACAGTCACACTCAATGTTGTCAGTCATTTTGTGTCAAAAGAAGGATAGAAACAGGACTGAAGTAATTTGAATAAGGAAGCAGGTGGCTATGAGGTTAAACGAGGAAACTCTAAAATATAAGCTTGATTTAAGATGAGGTTATCATCACAGAGGTGCAGGGTGATAGTTTGGGGTGGTCATGGAAGCACAAGATCTCAGACGTTGGGGAAGGATCTATGGAATGGTGCAAATTTGGAGCTGGGTGTGAGCTGAGAGGATATGGAGAAAGATAAGCAATTAGTCTCAATTTTCATGAGTTCCAAGGACTGGGATTGAATCCTTTCTGACAGTTGAGGGAGTCCCATTGATTTTAAGGATGTGGGTCTTGAAATGAAAGGCTGGTATTTATTGCCTATCCCAGTTGCTCTGAGAAGGTGCCTTTTCCTTCAGCTGCTGTGTCTGTTTGTAGAAATCTAATGCTTGCTTTAAAGGGCAGTTAAGAATAAACCATGTTGGTGTAGGACTGGAGTCATATATAGGTCTAGACTGGGTAAGGCTTAGGTTTTTTGATAATTGGGCAGTTTTGTGGTTATTTATACAGAAACCATTTATTAAATTCCAAGATATTTTAAAGTAGAATGCAGATCCTCAAATTTTCCTAATCACGTCTATATCAGTGTCTCTGGATTATTGATCGAAGTATCTCAATTACTAGTCCAATAACACAGCCACTAACATAATCAGATGTAAGGAGGTGGTTAAGTGGAGAGACAAAGATGAATTCCTGAAAAATAAATGTTAAAAATTAATTGAAAAAGAGAAAATTGACGTTTAAAAACATACTGGAGAAGTTGATGTAGAAACCTCAAAGTTAAACCTTAAACTATAATTTAGCAAAAAGATTTCAATGCTGAGAAGTGAATGATGTGGAGGAAACTTGCAGACGCACTGCATGATGTTAACGTCATAGGAAATAGAAACAAAAGTAGGCCACTCAGCCCATTGAGCTTGCTCAGCCATTCAGTAAGATCGTGGTTGATCTGATTGTGGCCCTTACTTTCCTGACTGTTCTATGATTCCTTGATTCATTTGTTGATCAAAAATTTGTCTAACATAGCCTTAAATATATTCAATGACCCATCCTCAAATATATTCAATGACCCAGCCTCGCTGCTTTCTGTGAAGAGTATTCCAAAGACTAGTGAGCCCCGAGAGAAGAAATTTCTCCTCATCTATGTCTTAAATGAGAGACTCCTTCTTTTCAAATTGTCTCCTGTAGTTATAAATTCTCCTACAGGAGGAACCATTGTCCCAGCACCTACCCTCTCAAAATCTTGTATATTTTAATACATTTTAAAAGTAGTGTAATGTAATTAATAAGATCATCTCTCATTTTGCTAAACTCGATTGAGTGTAGACCCATCCTTCTGAATTTTCCTTGAGAAGATTTCATCATCCCAGGAATGAGCCGAGTGATCCTTTACTAAACATTTGCCAATGCAAGTTTATCTCTCCTTTAAAAAAGGATATTTATGTTGAACAACCATTCCTCTTTTCTCTTTCTGCAGAGCTTTACAGTTACACTGAAGAGCCTGAATTTGCTGCTAACAGGGATTGCTTTGAAGAGGATTTTGCAATACATGGTAATAGACAATTGCACGGGTTAGAAACCGGGTCCTTATAAAACCTTTTGTGTAATTGCCAGATTTGTGTGAGTAAGAATTTGGGGCAAGTCAATATCCCAGGACTGTAGTGAAGAGGCGGAAGTTTGGAGATCAATGTTCCTGTAAGCACCTTTTGATGACAATGACTAGAATGCTACTAGGAATGAGGGACTTCAATTTCACGGAGAGATGGGAGAGAAGTTAGATTTCTCCTTCAAAGATCAGAAAAGATTAAACAAAGATTTCATTGATTTCAATGTTTTGATAGAATAGATGAGAAAGTATTTCCATTTAGAGAAATGAGTAGCAACAAGAGGACACAGATTTAAGTTGATTGGTAAAAGAGCCAGAGTGAGGTAAGAAATTATTTGCCTAGTGAGATGTTTTGATATGAAATAACCTGAAAAAGTGATCAAAACTGATTCGATAATAGCTTTTGAGAGGGAATTCAATAAATATTTGAAAGGTAATAATGCATGGTGCGGGAAAAGCAAAGGAGTATGGGAATATTAGATACCTCTTACAAACAGCTAGTGTAGAATTTGACAGGCCAAATGACCACCACATGTGCTGCATTATTCTATGAGCTGAACCTTTTTAGGGATTTTGAGGACAGATGGACTGAGTCCTTCAGCAATTCTACTTATTTTCCTAATTCCTGTCATTTCCTTTTTTACCTCATTTGATTAGGTTACCTTTTCCTGTGCACCCTTTCTGTATCACTGTCATTTTAGGCCACTTACTCTGTAGAGTGCATGTTGTTATAGATGGAGATTTATACCATAATTCACAATAGGTTGTGCCATTGACTGCATCACTGGTTACTGAACCTCCAGTTCAATAAGGTTAGCTCCAACCACAGTGCCTGTGCAATGCTCCATGTTCCACTAGGTTCATCCGATTAATTTCTGTTAGTCTCAACGTGTCTAATAAACACACACACACTCCCCAAGAACCCAGTTCACTATAGGCCAATTAACATCATCCTAGTGGTTGAGGAGAAAGACCGTAGGGAGTAGATTCCAGTTACATGATACATATGACATTTTTATGGAGTGAGTAATAGGTTTAACAGAGCAAGTTTCACCCCAATCACATTTCTGTTTAGTTTTTTTTATTGCTGTCTCAAATTCTGAAAATTAGTGATCACATTGTTCCCTGGGGAATGGATCAAATTGATCTGAAAACCTTTGGGGACCAAGAGGGGCTTGTTTACCTTGATGGAATTTTGGAGGGGGTGAGGAATGTGAATGTTGGCATCAGTAAAATTTAATACCTTTTTGTCTTTTCCAGGAAAGGGCAAGAAATGGGTAGAGTTGGAAGAAGATGAGCATAAATCCTACTTGATGAGGTTGCTGGATGGATTGGAGGTGATAAATAGGGAGAAGAGACTTAAATTTGCCAGAGCCATTCTTTATCTGGCCCAAGGTAATTGGTAATGGGACAGTACTACTCATTTCATTTCTGAATTAACTTCTGTGGCTATCACTATTCTGTCAACAGGTGAGTCAAAGGTATTGGACATAGGTAGGAATTTGGAGTTGTAGCCACAATCCAGTCAGCTGTGATCTTATTGAATGATGGAGCAGACTTGAGGAGGCAAACAACCTACCTCTGCTGCTAATTCATATGTTGTGTAAATCCAGTGGAGACATTAACCAACAGTGTGATTTAAACCAATGTTAAGCTGTATAAAACACAGACCTGAAGCCTTAGCTCTGCACAAGGATGTCTAACACCTTAACTAATCACACTTCATATACATACATATAAATAATAAGATATGAATACGCAGTAGTCTCTATTGTCAAATCCACCTCACGTTACGTATGCAAAGTATTTGTGATCTTCACGTTCCCCCACCTCCCTGAACTTGACAATACAGGAACTTGGCTTGCCAATGATTTGAAAACACTTGACATCAACCCTTGAGACTAGAATTACAGATCAGTCCACACCCATAGAACTGACATGATATCCATTGTTGATCAGTAAACTGCACGCTCTCTTTCAGTGTATCCAGAAAGTACTGCTTGGACTATTCTCAAACTGCCACCCTTTGGATACTACGCAAGAAAATGTAAATGTATGCACATTGCAAACAGCAAAGCACATGCAATTTAAAATATTAGAAGGGATTGAAGTTGTCTTCCCCATAAGAAACAAAAATTAAACCAGTGTCTTTTCATCCTGCTTGCAGGACTTGACTCTTCTGCTTTAATTCTTCATTAGGTGTGTTTGATGACTGCTACACAGAAACTGAAGTGATACATTGGGCTCGTTACAATGTCTTCCTTCTCTATGAAATGGGCACGTTTGGGACATTAGTGGAGCTGCTCAACATGGAGATTGAGTGAGTGAAGGAGAGAACCTCTTGGTGGTTGTGATGATCTGTCAATTGATAACTTTTCAGCGTGAAGTCAAATTAAGCTTGTAAGCCCAGTGGAAACTAATTCAGGATGGGGTCCAGTAAAGCTGTAGGCTGGGATACGTGCTTCACAAGCCTAATAAAGAGGACTTTCTACCCTAAAGAGTGGATAATTGGCAACTAGGTTCTCCTCAAATGTGTGAAAGGGACTGTGAGTGACAGTTGGTGAAAGACCAATTCTGAACTGATGTTAGAGAGTTTTTCTTCAGACAAGAAGTGGCCAGGACCAAGAATGGTCTCTGGTAGAGCAAGGAAAGCATGAACTTTGGTGTTTATGAAGTTTGATGCTCTGATGGGGACAACTAAAGAAGAATGTATTAGATAGGCCCATTGGCCTCCTTCATTTATATATCTCTGAACTATTGTAGTTGTGATCAGATACACATCCTAGCTTGCATCTGGCAACTTTGACTTGTTCTGTTGTTTCATGCCAAACTGAGCCAGTGGACAACCTCAGAGAATTGGCTGTATTCTGCAAATACCGTAGAGTTTATAACTGTCACCTTGTTAATGGAAGTATGCAGTTGGATCTAACTATTCTTCTGTTTGTACGCAGTAACAGCCAGACATGCAGCAGTTCCCTGCGAAAACCAGCCATGTCCCTAGCGGATAGCACTGAACTGAGGTGAGGGGATTGCACACCCGTTCCTAATTACATCAGTCCTCCTGCAAGACATGGCAACCACAATCTCTGTCCCATGGAGGCGCGTTCTAATTGTTGGCTATGTGTGTTCCTTGTGTCTATTCCATCTCCTGTTCTGGAGGTATTAGCTCATACTGTGCTCTAAGGCACCACCTGGTACTTTGCTCACATCCACTTCCTCCATGTGTGCCATGAGCTGACTATTGCCAGACTATTTAACTCACCCAATTCAGGCATCCATACATGTTCAGTCTCCAGTAGGATTGCCTGGGTAGCAGCCTGATAATGGGCAATGTGTTTGCTGAGTGGCAGATCCAATGGCCAGTTTTAATGGCATTCTTGTGAACTGACCAGGGTCAAACCACCTGCTCTGGTTGATGCAGTCTGGCTACTATACCTGCCCACTGATCATTGTGGCCCGTTGAAGTAAGGAAGAAGTTTAATTCTATATTTTCCTGCTGACTGTAGAGATAAGCTTTCATTCATTGTCATCCCAGAGCAACTTAGTTAATGCAGTACTGTAGGGTGTTTATATGATGCCTGTTTTATCATGGCCCTGACACTTGTTCATGCCCGATATTCCAGGGTGCTGCTCAATATTATGTACCTGATGGTGGAGATCATACGAGGAGAGGGCGAGGATGACAAACCCGACTGGAGCTCAGCAAGAGACGGATTTCGGACTGAGCTAAGTGAGTATGGTCATTTCCCTGTCTGTTGGGAATTACTCAACTAATCTGACTCTCTGTCTGCTCCTACAGCTTTCACCTTTTTTCTTTAAACAGACTTTGTTTTTTTATTTTGTGGGATATGGGTGTTGTATGGCAAGGCCAACATTTCTTGCCCATCCCTAATTGGCCTTGAGCTGCCACCATTTGAATAGCTGTAGTCTACCAGGTACTGGGACACCTACATTACTGTTAGGAAGGAAGTTCCAGAATCTTAATCCAGCTACAATGAAAGAACAATGATATCGTTCCAAGTCAGGATGGTGTGTGGCTTGGAGTGGAACTTGCAGGTGATGCCGTTTTCATGAATTTGCCGCAATTATACTTCTATGTGGTTGAGATTCTGAGTTTAGAAAGTGCTGTCAAAGGACCCTTGGTGAGTTGCTTAGGTGCACCTTGTGGACAGTATATGCTGTCATTTGTGGGGAGGGTGTGAATGTTTAAGTTGGCCGATGTAGTACTAGTCCTGGAAGGTATTGACCATCTTGAGTGTTTTTGAAACTGCACTCATCCAGGCAATTGGAGCATTTCTATAGCACTCCTGACACATACCTGGTAAATACTGCATAAGCTTTAGGGACCCAGAAGATGAGTTACTTGCCTCAGAATTTCAGCTCCTGCACCACTCTGGTGGGTGTAGCCACTGTATTTATATGGCTAATCCTGTTTCTGGTCAATAGTAACCCCTAGGATGTTGATGGTTGGGGATTTAATGATGATGGTCTTGCCACAGAATGTCAAGGGGAGTCAGTTAGATTCTTTCTTGTTGGATCAAGATGGCCATTGCCTGTCATTTGTTTAAAATCAGAGACCACTGCAAATGTGCAGCGGGTCAGTCAGCATCAAGACAAAGGACAGGTTATTAATGATATGGGTCTCACTTTTGTGTGTTCTGACAAAGGGGTGGGAATCCAAAACATCTGTAATCTAATCTTTCACTCGACTTGGGCACTGACTGAACAAATGTGCTTCCATTTTCTGATGTTCTTTTTTTAATTTCAGATATTTATATTTGCTGTTTAACTTCATGTTTTTACAAGTACTGTGGGTTTTTTTCAGGGGTGTAAGGTGGAGGGGAAGACAAAGGGAGATGTGAAACTGTGCTAACTGGTTAAAAATAAATGCAAGGTGCTCACTGCAGGGATCTAGTCCAGCTCCATCAGTTAGAAAACAAGTAATGCCCTGGATTTTATCTGATAAAAGTTGTAATCTCCAAAGGTATTGACCCAGAAATTTGTGTACAGAATTTGGGAAGACATAACCAGGGCACAGTGTTGAGACCAAAACTAGGGCCTGTATATCGTCAATGAGAAACTTAATAAGGAATTCATGCAAAACGTCTTTACTCTGTGTTTAGTAATGCCGAACCTGTTAATTGTATGTCAGTTGAGTTTAATAATATGCAATTAAAGGACATTATTTTTAGTTTCACGAGCATATATGAAGCAGCGCACATAAATGTGTTTTTTCTTTCGGTGAAGTGGTAGTATCCCTGCCTCTGGGACAGAAGGTTGGAGTTCAAATCCACTTGCTTTGGAGATGTGTCATGATATCTCTGAACAGGTTGATTTACGAAATAAAGCTGCACTTATTGAAACTGCTCTGCTATTGAGTTGGGAGGGGTATGTTTGTAATGTTTCACTCTAGATAAATGTAAGGCAATGTAAAGATGAGTTCCAATATCATCAGCAAGCAACTTTCTAAAATATCACAGAACTTATTGTCACCTGAAGTAGTTGAGATAAATAATGGTGATTTTTTAATGGAAAAGTTGAGGGACAAAGGAATTGATGGATATGCTAATAGGTTGCTCGGAAGAGGAGGAGTGGATTCATGTGAGTAAAAGCAAGCGTTGACCAGTTGAGCCCCACGGTCTGTTTCTCTGTTCTAAATACTATGTAGATGCTCCAGTGTAGTTTTAAATATGTTCCTTTAAATGTGATCTGTTAACTACCAGCTATTGACTTTAAAATGAAAACTTGGCAACTATAGTGTGTGTTGTTTTTGCAAACGTGAATACATTTTGTTTTCATGTACCTGGGTAGGGATAGCGAAATTCAGGAAATCCCATGATCCTGATTGCTTCCAGTCGCCTCTGCTGATTGTCAGCTTAGAATTAGGAGGTTCTAAATGTAATGCAGCCTGTGGTTGAATACCTGCCACTGCTAGCTGGCTGGACTCCCACATGAAGATTGACCACTTTGGGATGCAAAAATTTAACTGACATGTTCTGAGCCTCACCACAGCATGTTTATTGGCAAGCTGTTCAACTGTAGCTGAGCTCACACGTGTCCGCGTTGTGATCCAGCAGCCATCCCAGGGTGGTGAGTTGATATCCGCCTCTACTTTACCCTGACCCAGGCCATTTCTTCGGCTGCTACTCCAGGAGTGTGGACCGGTTTGTAAAAAGATACAAAGGTGCGCTCATCTCTCTCTCTTTCTCTCTGTCTTTCTCTCTCTGTCTCTCTCTCTATGTCTGTTTTCTCCTCCTTCACCCTGCTAGCAAATAAAACAGAGCTGTTACTGAAGTTGTGTGAATAGAGTTTGCAGTTGGAATGGGTTTAGTCCAAGCTCATCCAGACTGCACTATTTCTCAAGTAGTTCACGTGTGTCCTCTGTTGATTAATTGTATCCTATTCCTTAGGTTCCCCAGTGTATAACGGTGAGCCTTTTGCAGTTCTCCTATTCTCTCTCATTAATAAATACTGTAACGGACACACTCCACATTGCCCTATTAAGAAGGTGTTGCTGCTCCTTTGGAAAACTATTCTGGTAGGTCTTATTGTATTTTCTGTTATATTGTACTTTTAACTCCCTCTAAATTTTACTTTCAAGATATGAGCTTTGCTGGCAATGCCAGCGTTTTAAATCCAGCCTTAATTTCTCTCTCTTGAGAAAGTGGTAACATGTTGCCTTGAGCCAATGCAGTCCGTGTGGAATTGGTACACTCACTCAGGGAGGGTGTTTTGGGATTTTGATCCAGTGATAATGAAGGAACATCTGAATTTATGGCCAGGTCTATATGCTACATGACTTGGGAGACTTGCGGGTGATGGTGGTGTTCCCAAGGGCTGTCCTCATCATTTAAACTGATGGAAGCGATGGATTTAAGATCTGCTGGAGAGACCTCAGTGAATTGCTGTAATACATCTTGTGGTTGGTATATGCTGCAGACCACTACTCTTCCACACATACATACAGCCATCTTCTGCACATGCTGCTCCTCACTAGGGTATAGAGCCATAGCTGCAATAGGCTGGTATCTCAGACCAGGAGCTGTCCTGGCTGCTCAGTTTAAACATCTACTTGCCTCTGGAGAGCATCATAACAGAGTCTGTACCTGACCTTATCTTGCCTGAGGTCCATTCGAGCACAAGCTAGCAATCAGGCAGAGGAACCGTGGCTAGTGTGTCCCAGCCTCGTAGGGACACTGAGGTCAAATTTCCATCATGCCTACTAATCTTGCTGAGTTTGGAATCTGGAATTTCAGATGATACATGAATTAGTAGTACTCCTTTCAATCCATGCAAGTTGTTCAGACCACTTGCTTGTCTTTCTCCTGAACTAGGATGTATACCTTGTTTTTCACCTTCCTGTGAGGAAGCTTTACTGATCTGCTTAATGCCAGTCTAAGCACCAGTTCTGTGCAATCAAAATTTCCTCAGAATTTGGATGTGTTTTATTAGATGAGGCCCTATATTACACTGGTGCCTTTAATATGGGCACCACAGAACTTGATGTCACTCTGCTACAGGCATCGGAACTGACCAGGTAAGGCTCAGCGTCATAGAGTTATCCAGCATGGAAACAGACCCTTCGGTCCAAGTCGTCCATGCCGACCAGATGTCTTAAACTGATCTACTCCCACTTGCCAGCAATTGGCCCATATCCCTCAAAATCCTTCCTATTTGTATACCCATCAGGATACCTTTTTATATGTTGTAATTGTACTAGCCTCCACCACCTCCTCTGGCAACTCATTCTATACATGTACAATCCTCTCCATGAAAATGTTGTCCCTCTGGTCCCTTTTTAAATGTTTCCCCTCTCACCTTAAACCTACACCCTTTAGTTTTGGACTCCACTACTCTGGAGGAAAAAGACTTTGGCTATTCACCCTATCCATGGCCCCTCAAGATTTTATAAACTTCTGTAAGGTCACCCCTCGGTCTACAATGCTGCAGGCACAAAGGTCCCAGCCTATTCAGCCTTTCCCTACAGTTCAAACACTCCAATCTTGGCAACATCCTTGTAACTCTTTTCTGAACCCTTTCAAGTTTCACAACATCCTTCCTAGGGCAGGGCCACCAGAATTGAATACTGTATTCTAAAAGCGGCCTAACAAATGTTGCAGCTATACGGGACATGACATCCCAACTCTTATACTCAATGCACTGACCAATTAAAACAAACATGCGAAACACCTTTTTTACCACCCTGTCTACCCATGACTCAACTGTCGAGGAACTATGCACTTATACCCCTAGGTCTCTTTCTTCAGCCACACTGCCCAGGGCCCTACCATTAAAAGTAGAAGTCCTTCCTTGTTTTGCCTTACCAAAACACAACACCTCACATTTATCTAAATTAAACTCTATCTGCCACTCTTCAGCCCATTGGCATATTTGATCAAGGTCCCATTTTATTCTGAGATAACTATCTTCACTGTCTACTACACTACCTCTGCAAATTTACTATCCATACCTCCTATTTTCACTTTCCAAATCATTTATATAAACGACAAAAAGCAGTGGACCCAGCATTAATCCTTGCGGCACACTGCTGGTCATAGGACTCCAGTTCGAAACGCAAGCCTCCAACACCTTCAAGCCAATTTTGTATCTGACTGGCTAGCTCCCCTAGAATCCAGGTGATCTAACCTTGCTAACCAGTCTACCGTGCGGAACCTTGTCAAATGCCTTGCTCAAGTTCATATAGATAACATCTACCACTCTGCCTTCAGCAATCTTGTCACTCCTTCAAAAACTCAATCAAGACACAATTTCTGACTCAGAAAGCCGTGTTGATTATCCCTAATCAGTCTTTACCTTTTCAAATGCATGTAAATCCTGTCCCTCAGAATCCCCTCTAACAAGTTGTCATAAAGGCATTTGGTATGCTTGCCTTTATTGGTCAGTGCATTGAGTATAGGAGTTGGGAGGTCATGTTGCAGCTATACAGGACATTGGTTTGGCCACTTTTGGAGTATTAAGTGTAATTCTGGTCTCCCTCCTATAGGAAGGATGTTGTGAAACTAGAAAGGGTTCAGAGAAGATTTATGAGGATGTGCCTGGGTTAGAGGGTTTGAGCTATACGGAGAGGCTGAATAGGCTGGAGCTATTTTCCCCGGAGCATCAGAGGCTGAAGGGTGACCTTACAAAGCTTTATAAAATCATGAGGGGCATGGGGATTCCAAAACTACAGGGCATAGGTTTAAGGGGAGAGGAGAAAGATATAAAAGTGACCTAAAGGGCAACTTTTTCACGCAGAGGGTGATGCAAATATGGAATGAGCTGCCAGAGGAAGTGGTGGAGACTGGTACAATTACAACATTTAAAAGGCATCTGGATGGGTATATCAATAGGAAGGGTTTAGAGGGACATGGGCCAAATGTTGGCAAATGGGACTACAGTAATTTAGGTTATAAGGTCGGCATGGATGAGTTTGATCAAAGGGTCTGTTTTTGTGCTGTACAGCTCTATGACGCTGTAATTTACCCACCACTGATGTCAGGCTCACTGGTCTATAGTTCCCTGCCTTTTCCTTACCACCTTTCTTAAATAATGGCACAATGTTAACCAACCTCCAGACTTCCAGCACCTCACCCATGGCTATCAACAATACAAATATCTCAGCAAGGAGCCAAGCAAACTTCTCCCTAGCTTCCCACAAAGTTCTGGATACACCTGATCAGGTCTAGGGGAATTCTCTGCCTTTGTGTTTTAAGACATCCACCACCACTACCTCTAATATGGACACTTTTCAAGATATCACTATTTATTTCCCCAAGTTCTCTAGCTTCCATGTCCTTCTCCACAGTAAATACTGACGTGAAATACTCAATTAATATCTCGCCCATCTCCCGCAGTTCTATCCTGATCTTTAAGGGGCCCTCTTCTCTCTCTAGTTACTCTTCTACCCTTAATATAATTGTAGAAGCTCTTTGGATTCTCCTTTAACCCGAATTGCTAAAGCTGTTTCATGTCCTATTTTTGCCCTTTTGATTTCCCTTGAGGATTCTCCTACTGCCCTTGTACTCCTCACTTGATCCCAGTTGTCTCTACCTGACATATGTCTCCTTTTTCTTGACCAGAACTTCAAACAAATCCTACTTAGTCTCCATTGACCAATCCAGCACACGCATTTTTCTATCATTAGCTGCAAAGGATACGTGAAGAGATTTCTTGTCTGTATAGAGAAATTCCACAGGCAAATTGTGCATCTGAGCTTGTATATACTAGGAACAAATGTATTAATGCATGTTTTCAGAGTAATCTTCAGCAGAGATGTAGATGAATAAACTAGTCACTTGAATCTGTGTGTGACGAATAGGAAAATTGTGATTTTAACTTTTACACAGTACAGAAGGAGGTCATTCAGTCTGAGCCTGTGTTGACAGAGCTAGAAATTAGACGTGTTCCCCAAAGCTCTGCAAAATCTTCTGTTTGAGTATTTATTTAATTACCTTCTGAAATTTATTACCTCTTCTGCATTCAGCCTTTCTGCAATATGTTCCAATTCATAAAAAACTTTCTTCCTGAAAAAAAACTCATCATCTCTCTCTGGTGTTCTTTGCCAATCATTTTAAATCTGTGTCTTCTGATTAATGACTCCTCCTTCCCAGTGAAAATTATTTATTCAATCAAATCTCATGATTTTAATCACTTCTAACAAGTCTTCCCTTGACCTTCTGTGCTCTAAAGAGAATCTCATCTCTTGCCACTCCACATGACTGAAACCTTTCCAGCTGGCCTTATTCTAGTAAATTTCACCTCCATTTGGTATCTTTGCGAACTTTTAGATCTTTAATCAAAAGTGTGCTTTGTTACATTTACCTTTCAGTTCCTCGGTGTTTTACTTGTATTTGGTGCCATTGAATAGGTGAGGTCATTTGATGAATTACTTTCCTTTGTTCTCAGTTCTGTTTTGGAGGGTTTGAGAAACTCCAAGAGTTGAAAGTCGAAAAGCGAGCAAAGCTGGGACTTCCTCCGCTGTTGGAGAACAGTATACATGTGACGCGAACTCTGCGAGCCACCTCTCCACCAGCATCAGCCATGGACATCCTAGAGCAACAGCACAAGCGAGGTCGCAGGGGTCGGAAGGTAAGATCCATCTTCACAGCTACTGATACCCTTTGTCCTTCATGGAAAACTAGGAGGAGGCCAATCAGCCTCTTTAACCTAGCTTTGCCCTGCCCTAGATTTATGGCTGCCTTGGTCCTTGGTCCCATGTCCCCTTGAATGAGCTCGGTTTTGAAAGAAAACCTGGGGTGATGAAGAGGAGACACCTTGATGGACACCAGCCGATGCATTAACTGTCTGGTGTCACTGGCAGGTTCTCATGAAGCAGGACAGCCTGGATATCTACTGTGAGAGAGATGAGCCTCGGGAGGAGGAGGACGAGGCAGATGACGGGGACAGTGGGATTGAGGGAGAATTGGATGTGCTGGAGAGAGAGGCACTGATTCAGGACCTCCCTTCCCATGGACTGATGCCAGAGAGACTGGTCTTCCCACGGTGCCTGCCCTGGGCCACTAAAGTCAGGTCTGTATAAATTGCTGTTGGCTATGGGCAACATTTTTTTGTTTGGTCTGGTGATTTCTTGTGAAGGGCACTCGTCCTCACCCCTGTCCTCCTGCTCACAATCTTATTGTCAGTAGTTCCCTGGGGGTACATGTCCCATAGCAAAAGAGCTAATTGCTTAATCCTGGTCACCACCTTTAGGAAACTAAGCATCAGGATTCCAGGGATAATTGCACCTACATTGTACTTTTCTCTCTCTTCCCCAGGGGTTTCCAATCAATTTCTGTTCAGTGACTACCTGAAACCCCCTCAACAACATACAAACAGATGTACAAACTCATGGCACCTCTGTTCATAAATGTTTGATTTGGTTTCACTGGAATCTGCTCCAGCTGTTTAATCTACTGCACGTTGTCAGCTGAAAGCCTTATTGCCTCCAAAGTGAATGTTGTTTTCAGTTTTGTTCTTCACTTACGCAGAGAGAAGGACATCGAAGATTTTCTGGAAGTCAGTCGGTGCAAATTCATTGGATTCACGTTGGGAAAGTGAGTAGGAAAGTAGAGTTAGCTTTCTGTGAGTCAGCCTGCATATGTTGGTGTCTGTATTTATACCTGTGTATAGTCATATAAATCTGGTATGTGTTCGTTTGTACCTGTAACTATATTGTGCACATAAATATACTGCTAGGTAGTTCCTCTACATTGTGGTCCTCCACAGGTGGTCTCCTCTACATTGGGGAAATGAAGCGTAGACTTGGCGACCGCTTCGCAGAACATCTATGTTCTGCTCGCAAAAAAGACCCTGAACTACCTGTTGCCTGCCACTTCAATGCACCACCCTGCTCCCTGGCCAACATCTCTGTCTCTGGCTTGCTACAGTGTTTCAGTAAAGCCCAACGCAAGCTGGAGGAACAACACCTCATTTTCCGCTTGGGGACCCTACAGCCCTCTGGACTCCATATTGAGTTCAACAATTTTAGGGCCTAAACTCTCCCATGTCCCAGCCCCCCACACCAGGCCTTGTTACTACATAGCCTGCCATTACACACCTCCTGTTGTTAGTCACTAACGGTTCCCATTAACAACTATTCACCCTCCCAGCCTGATCGTTAGCAACTCCTTTGTCTGTCCAAGACAACAAGGTGCAGGGCTGGATGAACACAGCAGGCCAAGCAGCATCATAGGAGCAGAGAGGCTGACGTTTCGGGCCGAGACCCTTCATCTGTCCAACTGTCTTTCTCTCTCTTTGGGCTCTATCCTATCGTTTACTCCCTACCCCACCCACCTCCCTATTTTCTGCATACAAACTGACCCAGCCACCATCAGTTCTGAGGAAAGGTCACCGGACCTGAAACGTTAACTCTGTTTTCCCCTTCACAAATGCTGAGCTTTTCCAGCAACTTTGTTGCTGTAATAAAATGTCTGTGGTTGTGATTCTACCCTCCCAACTCTCCTGTATATTGCATTTTCAAATATTCTGTGTACTTACAATGAATATAGTGAACTCCACCAGTCTTAGTGTTGCTCACCTATTGATTTAAAATGCTTTCTCTTTCCAGTGACACTGAAACCCTGGTGGGTTTGCCCAAGCCCATTCACAATAGTGTGAAAATACTGAAACAGGTAGGAAAGTAAATGCTGTGTATAATTCTTCCGAATCATGCAGGCTTTTTATTTCTTAAAAACAAAAATGTACAAACAAATATTTCGACAAAGCAAAACAAAATACTGGTTTTTTTTCTTCAAAGTAAAATACAACTTGCGGTCTCTCTGTATCTGGCTGAGAAAGGTCACCATTTGAAGGAGACACTTAATTAGAACTGCCTTGATAGAGGGCTCTGCACCCACAGGCTTAACCTGGTTCTTTCGTTCACTGTCTCCTCTATGAAAGTTAGGATCCTTACAAGAGAACAAGCAAGAGAAAAGTCCTTTTGAGAAAAACTAAAAACTGATTAAACAATTGTTTACTGGAGGTACTCAATGGAGAAGATGCCAATTACAAACCCTACTCATTACTGGATTAAATTTGTTATCGCTGACATTGTGACTATTGAGTATATTCTAGACAACATATCCATAGATTATGGATACTAAGGAATAAAAGGATATAGGGCTAGTGTAAGAAAGTGAGTTGGGGTACGAGTTCACCTGTGAATAATGATCAGGCTAGAAGGGTTGAATACACTACCTCAACTCTTCTTATGTTCCTTGGTACCTGGAGTTCCTATACAGACAGAAATCCAGCCATTCACTGAGCTGGATAGCAGACATCTGCAGTGAGCGGGTGTTTGTGTTGGTGGATGATGGTGCATGTAACTTGGGGTGAAATCTATCGTGGGCTGACAGTGAATTGCCAAAAGGCAGGGAGAGATTCTGCCTTAGAAGTAAATGAGCGTGCTACTTCTTTTCAAAACATATGGTACAAAGAAAACTATGAAGAGATGACCCCAGATTGGCAAAAAGGAGAAATCCATCCGCAAGCTGATCCTTTGGGTTTGAGTGTGGAGGAAAAAGCTTGGATTCATTCAAGGGACATCGAAGTGCTGTATTTTCTTCCGAAAGGATGAACCAGTACTACTTGCCTTTGTGATATTTTGGTGATTTTTGTTTTTTGTGTGCAATTCAAGGGAAATCAAACTTTTTTTTTGCTTTTTATGACTTAAGTCCACACCAAGCTCTTTCTCTCTCTCTCTTTTCTCTCTCTCTCTAGTACTGATTAGATTCTTCTGTCAGTCTGTGTTTTGTCTAAGACAAGTTACCACATTGCAATCGTCCTATTTTTAGGTCTAGTATTGTGTACGGACAGGGAGCTATGAAAGATTACTCACTCAGCACAATGTGCAGATCTGTTCCAGAAAACTGCCAAGTACACTTTTTTTTTCTTTTCTCTCCTTTTTCCTTCTGCTTTTCTTGTGTGCACTTGCTGTCTCAGTCCTATCTTTCAGTCCCACAGTAAGATGTGGATTTAATAACCTCTGGACATCTTTCGCTGCAAAGATGCATATTGGTAGTTCAATACTGAGGCTACTTTTTTTTCCCCCCCTTGATCTCTGTGATCAAGAAATCTGTTCATGAATCCACAGTATTAGAAAGACCAAACCAGTCTGCTGGTAATTCTTGGACAAAAAACCCCATTATGAAGAAGTTTAACTATTCATTTCCAATTTTAGAGGTTTCTAGATGTAAGTTTAGCAGCCATTTTAGCCTCTGTTAGGGACAACTAAATGTCAAAAAGTAATTAAATGGAATTAAATACCTGAGAAAAGCTTTGGGAGCTCCTAAGTGAGTGAGTGAATGAATGAAGCTATATATAACTGCTACTAGATGATGACTCTCAGCAACTGTACTAGTCAATTTATCTTGTATAAACAGCAGAGAAAGCCTGAAACTCCCCAGACACCAGATTCACTGTGGAATTTCTCCCAGCAAAGTTGTTTTCTCCTTTGCTTTTGGAATGATTGATTATATTAAAATGTATTCGTTCAGTATTGTAAAGTTGAGTTAAATGGTCTGTTTCTGTGCTGTGTAATTCTAACTGGATCAGACTTGTTGGATGTATAATCTCATGCTGCAGCATTTTTACTGAGTCTGATGCTGCCTTTCTGTCGGCTGCACTGTTAGAAGGGTCAGGCCAGGAGGGGGCTATGCTTTAAACCCTCCATGCCAATAATCTACAGCAATTGACTGGCCTGGCTCAACAATGACAGCAGGCATTTTAATGGGTTCTTAAGGAGTTAGACATGACTAAGCAAACTAAACAAATTTGATTTTCTGATTTCTACCATCAGCATAAGTATGTCTCCATCGCAGAAGTACAGGCCAAGAGGGAGGAAGAACTGCAGAAATGTCCAGTGTCGCTGGTAAGGACCTGTAGCACACATTCACCCTGTGGTATACAGAGTACATCAGGAAAGTCAGTGGACTCTTAGACAATCACACTCCTCCTATAGGCAGTCTGTTCATTAGAGCAGAAGACCAAATTGTTGAAGTGACCTTCATGACCATTAATGTGGTATTGTGAAAATATCCCTCAAAAGCTTTGACTGGCCTGTCAGTGTCCAACAGTTCTCTTTCCTTCCCCTCTATTGTCTAATTGCAAGGTAGATGATTCTAAATCTGTCTGTTGTTAAGTAAATTCCTTTTGTTAAATACCTCTTCTTATATAAAAAAAGCTTTCTTAATTTCCTACTTTTGATTTAATGTTGCTTGGAAATGTGTTGAGTGAGGTAGTCTGTGTTGGGAGATTAATTATATGTTCTAGAGTTTAGCTGATTCATCTCTTGAAGGGAAGAATCAAAAGGTTTTGCAGAACATCTCCAGGACAGGGTTGTGTCCAGTCCAAGACATAGGCTGGGCAGAAAGGCATTGATCAGCCACAAGATTCTCAAGGGTAAATATTTTGCCCCCGTTTCTCCTTTATTTTTTTCCTTTATTCATTCACAGGATGAGGGCGTCGCTGGCCAGGCAGTATTTATTGCCCATCCTAATTGCCCAGAGGGCAGTTGAGAGTCAACTACATTGCTGTGGGTCTGGAGTCACATGTAGTCCAGCCGGGTAAGGATGGCAGTTTCCTTCCCTAAAGGGCGTTAATGAACCAGATGGGTTTTTCCTGACAATCAGCAATGGATTCATGGTCATCATTAGACTCTTAATTCCAGATATTTATTGAATTCAAATTCCGCCATCTGCCATGGTGGGATTTGAACCCGGGTCCCCAGAACATTATCTGGATCTCTGGATTAACAGTCCAATGATAATGTCACTAGGCCATTGCCTCTGTGTATAAAGTAGGGAAATTTGCTTCAACTTCTGATAATTTACTGCCCTTCGAGCAACTGGTGGGGAATCATTCCACCTAATTTATTTTGAAGTCGGGCATCAAAGATAGATTGATCTGCAATTCAATAACAGGCTGAACTTAGTAAAATAAAGCAAAAAGTTGCAATCTACCTTTTCGTTATACACAGGGAGCTGAAGAGGTGGAGCAAAGCCCAGTTGAGATCCTGTACCAGGCAATGTTACACAACCTACCTCAGTATATGGTGAGTATCGACTGTTTACAGCTTTTGTCCCCAACTCTGCTTGGGTCTGTGACCTGTACTCCGAGCAGTACCATTCTTTTGGTTTTCACAATTTCCTAGCCCCCCCACCACCCCACTTCAAGACCACAGTTCATTGATTGAAGAGGACAGATTCACAGGATCCGGCCTATCCTCCCACTGAGAGGCACCGCCCTGGCGCACTCAGTCTGGGAATCAAACCTGGAATTATTCTTCACTGTGTTGCTCCATGAAACTTGCACTCTTTCCTGTTTTGCCTTTTCTCTGTGCTTTTCCTTTCCACTGGATCAGCAGCTGGAACCTCCTGAGTTATTTCTCCTTTTTTCCTCAGGAATGTTTCCAAGAGTCAACTAGGAAATGAACTTAAGTCCTTTGTATGTCTTATGCTGAGTTTACCAAATGAGCCCTTCCAGATACTGCAGTTTACTAACTAGTTTGTTTCCCAGGATGAGTTTGCACCTATTCGATGTCAGTGTAACTTGGTTCCTAATGCTGTCATCTTAGAGTCTGTAGGTTGAGATATCAAGCCTTATTCCAGAGAGCCCAACGCTCCAATACCTGAAGGTATGCTGCATGTCAGAGGTGAAGATAGTAAGAACTGTAGATGCTGGAGTCCGAGATAACACACTGTGGAACTGGAGGAACATAGCAGGCCAGGCAGCATCAGAGGAGCAGGAAAGTTGACCTTTTGGGTCGGGACCCTTCTGAAGAAGGGTTCCGGCCCGAAACATCAACTGTCACAGGTGCCATCTTTTTGAACGAGACTTCAAATCAGGTGAACGTAAAGTATTTCCTGACGTCTTTTTGAGGAAGAGAAGGGGCTTTCATTCTATGTCAGTCCAATACTTATCCCTCAACTAGCATCATTTAAAACCAAATTGTGATTGCCATATTACTGTTTGTTAGGTGTTTGCTGTAAGCAAATTGGCTGCTTGATTTCCCATTCAAAGGTACCTAATTATCCGTACAGTGATTCAGGATATGCTGAGAAAGGCTCTATATAAATGCAATTTCTTGTTTTCTTAGCTACCAATTTTTGATGGGCTGGTGGGTTATTATACTCCTACAGATAGCATTGCTGAAGATCCAGCTGGCCGCTGCTCCCACATCCAAGGCAAAGACTGACTCCATCAATATCTTGGCTGATCTCCTGCCTGAGGAGATGCCGTAAGTTTTGTTCAACTAATACATTTGCATTTCCTTTGTGCATCCTCATTTGGAATGTTACCTATTTTGAAAAAAACAATGATTTTCAATGTGTTCATTATACTCACACCACCTTTTTGAGCGAGGGCCTGGTTTCCTGGTTGTTTCCCCAACAACTTCAAGAAAACTGTTCACCCACATCAGGCCAAGTTCTGAGTTCCAACGTCACGTCATTCTGTGCGTTCATTGTGCTCATTGTTGGTGAGATCTGGCCTTTGGATCTGTGATTAGTCGTCTTTCTCTAAACCAAGACAAAACAGTCAGGACAGCGGAAGGACTTCAGCTGATATTATTTCCCCTGAGCTCCAGAACATAAGTCAAATGTCACTGACCTGGGCAAATGCAAGTTGGAATAAAAACTGGATGTTCAGTGCCACACAGTGATTCTCTTGCGCACTGAACAATTTGCATTTTTATTTTTAAGTTGACTCAGAGGAAGTAATAAGAGAGTATTTAATATTTCAGTGAAATAGATTCTCCCCTTTGTTATATTTTATGCAGCAATACTGTGTTACAAAGCATGAAGTTGGGGATTGATGTCAACAGACACAAGGAAATCATTGTTAAAGCTATTTCAGCGCTGATGCTGCTATTACTGAAGCATCTCAAACTCAATCATGTCTATCAGGTAAGCGATGCCAGAGCTTAGAGGGTTGGTTGGGTTGTGGGGGACCTGCAGAGTGGTGTGTGTTTGTGTTTTTGTGTGTGTGTGTGTGTGTGGGGAGAGTTCACTTCCCTAACTCCGTCCAGTTCCCAGTCTTTAACTATATTCAATTACCCCAGTCCTCAACTTAAATCAAATTGGATGCCTTGAGCCTCCTGGTGGCCAACTAGGAGGAGCAGCAGAGATAGTAGGAACTGCAGATGCTGGAGAATCCGAGACAACAAGGTGCAGGGCTGGATGAACACAGCAGGCCAAGCAGCATCATAGGAGCAGAGAGGCTGACGTTTCGGGCCTAGACCCTTCTTCAGAAAAGGGGGAGGGGAAGGGGGTTCCGAAATAAATAGGGAGAGAGTGGGAGGCGGATAGAAGAGGGATAGAGGAGAGGATAGGTGGAGAGGAAACAAACAGGTCAAAGAGGCGGGGATGGTACGAGAGAGTTGCAGTGGGAGAGAGATCCCTTGAGGTTTGTCCGGAGGGAGGAGGGTAACTTCTTCAGGCTAGGCATCCTTAGAAGAGGCTTCGCAGTGGGGTTAAAATTGAATCAGAGATAGTAGGAACTGCAGATGCTGGAGAATCCGAGACAACAAGGTGCAGGGCTGGATGAACACAGCAGGCCTAGCCTGAAGAAGTTACCCTCCTCCCTCCAGACAAACCTCAAGGGATCTTTCTCCCGCTGCAACTCTCTCGTACCATCCCCGCCTCTTCGACCTGTTTGTTTCCTCTCCACCTATCCTCTCCTCTATCCCTCTTCTATCCGCCTCCCACTCTCTCCCTATTTATTTCAAAACCCCCTTCCCCTCCCCCTTTTCTGATGAAGGGTCTAGGCCCGAAACGTCAGCCTCTCTGCTCCTATGATGCTGCTTAGCCTGCTGTGTTCATCCAGCTCTGCACCTTGTTGTCTAGGAGGAGCAGCAGACTGAGTCTGAGAGTTGATGGTTCTTTGTAATCCAGGCAAATAAGGCACAGAGTCTGGATGGAATGTGAGTAAGCAGGAGAGAGGGGATTAACATTTATCACAAATTTTCACAGTGTCTGCCCTGTTGCTGGTTGGTTGGAAAATCAAACTTATTCCAGAGAAGCACAAAAAAAAACAAAAGACCTTAGTCAGTGGAATTTTGTTTTTAAAGCTGTCCTGTTAATTGTGACTCACTCCAAATTACAGTTCTATGTCTAAATCCTGGATTATGATTCAGCCTCTTGCAGATATCCATTATTCTATATATAAATTGCCTGGCCCCTGGATTCCATTTCACCCATGACTCACTCACTTCATATAGCAGCCTGACAAACAACATTAAATGTGAAGTTGCCCAACCCTTTTACACTTCTATGTCACAGACACAGTAGAAGCTAGTCCTCTTGGGTTGGATGATCACAGTGTTTGAGAGGTTGCATTCTTTTTTTTTTGGTTAGCCGTGTCCACAGCCTCTCAGTTGGTGAGCAGTGTCACGTGTCCCTTTATTCGACACTTGTGATGTCCTGAGGCGGATTATGCTGACTTACGTTTTTGTTCTGAAGTGAGGGCTGGTAGTTGTTTCACAGATATTGCAATAAGGCCTTGGTTCTTAATCCTCAAGCTATCCCTCATGCGCCTCCACCTGTTACCTGGCCACAGGTTTCTGAACAGGTGTTCCAAAACCATATCCCTCCTCGGGGACATCATGTATTCCTCAGAGACATCACAAACCTTTTAAATGTTTCCTGGTCTAAAAGCTGTACAAAATGTACAGCAATCGTGATTACCAGTGATTTTTCACGGAATCACCTTTTTTTTAAGTTTTAAATTTTCAACAAACTATGCATGACTTCCTGCTTTAACTCCCAATTATCAAAGTAACAGTGAAAATCATCACATCCCTATAGTGTGGAAGCAGGCCATTCGGCCCATCAAGTCCACACTGACCGTCTGAAGAGCAGCGCCCCACCCACCACCCCCTCAGCCAAGGATGGGTCCAGAGGAGGTATGGATGACTACTGCAGGAGCAGCAGGAAAACTGGACATAGTAGAGGCAGGTTCCATGGCCCCAGAATATGATTTTTAAGGTTTGAACAGGAGGTGATCCCTTTCTTACTCTCCTCTTTGGCTTTCCTCCTTAGTTTGAATATGTTTCCCAGCACTTGGTATTTGCCAACTGCATCCCGCTGATTCTGAAGTTCTTCAATCAAAGCATCATGTCCTATGTCACCGCCAAGAACAGGTAAGAAGGGTGAACTCTGAAATCAAGCTGCAAGACTGCAAACCCAGTCGGTGGACAATGCATCTCGACCTAACAGCACCCAAGAACCCCTGTTCACTGAACCCAGATATGGAGATATTGGGGGAAGACCGAGGTCCGATTGGCTGTGATGCTTCCCATAATCGAAAGGCCACTAACGCTCATTGCTCAGAGTCTTCTACCCTCAAGAATGGTGGTTCCTTTGATAAGGTTTTGGACAGCAAGTGCCAATTGAAGGAACCTTAATACCTCAAAAGTGCTGAAGCGTGAATACTCCATTTGACTTGCTCACTAGTAGACACAATGAGGAAAATTAAAACTTTTGTTCAACTGCTGCTCCTGAGCTGACAGAAGCTGATGTTCAATTTCAAAGGTGCCAGCCTTTCTCTTTAACATCCCTTTCATCTCCATTATGGATAGCCTTCAGGAGCCATCATAACCGAGTCTAAACCCTCCTCTGCTCCTTTTGTTTGCTAGCAGGGCTCTTGCTAACTGTATGGAGATCAGGAGCTGTGATGGTGCCTGGGTTAGGTTAGGCTAGCATTGCCCATTGTAGTGCCATGACGAGTTTAAGTACCTCTGAATAGATCAAGGATTAAACCTAGGACTTAACCGAAAGAACTGCAGATGCTGTAAATCAGGAACAAAAACAAAGTTGCTGGAAAAGCTCAGCAGGTCTGGCAGCATCTGTGAAGTTCTGAGGAAGGGTCCCGAAACGTTAACTCTGTTTTTTCCTTCACAGATGCTGCCAGACCTGCTGAGCTTTGCTGGCAATTTTGTTTTAGTTAAACATAGGACTTCCCTGATCTATAATAATCAAACGTTCACAACATATGGTTTTAAACCACTTTGAAAGCTAATGCCTTTTTTTTCCTTCAACATATGGAATTCTTTGCTTCACAGTTTCTGGGTTCCCAAACCAAACTTTGGGAAGCATGTCCGAACTTTGGCAAGGGTTCAGAGAAAATTTACCCGAATGATACCAGGGATGAGGGACTTCAGTAAAGCAGAGAGACAAGAGAGGTTGGGATTGTTCTTTTTAGGGTAGGGAAGAGTAAGGCACCAGTCAGGACACATTTAAAATTAGTAGCAGTTTTGATGGAATAGAAGTGAAGAAATTAATTTCACTTGCAGAAGGGCCAGAAATTAGAAAACAAAGATTTAAAATAATTGACAAGAAAGCCAGGGAAGGTGAGTGACTTAGCAATGAATGCCCTGTCTGATAGTCAGGAAGTAGATTCAACAGAATCTTGTAAAAAGGAATTGGATCTGTTCATAAACCACAAAGAAAGTGGGAAAGAGCATGGGAATGGCTCAAATTGGGTAAGTCTCTCATTGGAACCATCACAGACCTGATGATCTAAATGGCTTCTGTGTGTTGAATGATTCTAGCTGTTATTTTTTGGAGGAAGAGGATACTGTAAAAGGAAGCACTGTGCATTGCAAGTGCTGACATTGCACATTTGTCTTCTCTCTGCAGTTTGGGGAGGGTAGGGAAATTTGGGGGAAGGGGGAGCCCCACAGTTGGCACTCTTACAAGTGGTCAATGAGGACTGCGTGTAAAAGGTGTGTGGGTGAGCAGTCACAGTGGAGGACATCTCTTTAATTGTTCTATTCTTTGTGTGTGCAGTATCTCTGTCCTAGACTACCCTCGCTGCGTGATCCATGAGTTGCCAGAACTCACCACCGAAGTTCTGGTAAGTACAGATTTGGCAGAGGTCTGATTCTATCCTGTGATACTGGGTCATAATGAGTAATAGCACTCCAGTTTAGGCTCCACCTAGGCAGAGAAGGCAGAATTCGACCACTCCCCAATTCCTATTGGGAAGGGCAAGTACGTAGACACTGAGCAAGGATAACTTGCACTCCTTTGTGTGAATACCAGGGAATGCCAGTGTTTATAGGCAGAATTGCAATATGCCAATAGCAATCAGCAGGCAGCGTATAAAACACAGTAGCTTGCCTCTTGCACCCAGAGCATTTCAGAAGATTCTCCTCTTCAGGTGGCAAAGGTATTGAGGCAGTGACATCTGCTGTGTCCATCTCAGATTCTGAGGTGTCTTCAACGTTTGATGGAGAGAGAAAACCCATAAACAGTCGGAAAAGCAATCGAGGAGCTGGGTGCGTTTTGCTCCCGCACTGTTTGTGAGTTTGCAGCCTTCATATCATTCATATGCTTGTTCAGGACCATCGCACCTACCCAAACTTTATATGTCACTGGACCTGATCTCACATCGACCATGCCTCTCGCTCATTCCCATGGTTCCTGCACCAAACTTCTTCCCCTGAGGTAAAATGTCTGTCTTGCTCAGTGGAGTCTTGTGTCCAGCACTGACATTCCTGATGCCATTACTCTCTCTCACTCTCTCTCGCGTGCTCTCACACTCTGCCGGAGCTATCCCTACAGGTGAGTGTGGGGTGGTCCTACAAATAGATAGGAACTGAGACACTTTGGTGTGGACTGTTTTTTTATGCCAGACCATTGGACGGTGGATGGCATGGAGCTGTCCTTATTTGACGAATACCATTTGATTTGAGGAAATACGCAGACAGCCTGCTGGTAAACGATGGCCCGTTATCTGTGATTACACTTCTGGGAGTCCATGTACTGCCAAAGATACACGAAGTTTTTCTTTCATCATCCCTGTGTTTGACAAATGAACTCTCTGCACATCCAGCCATTTTGAGTAGGCATCCCCGATGACTAAGAACACTGAGCCCATGAAAGGACTTATGTTGTCAAAATGTAACCAAATCCAGGGTTCACCCAGCAATTCCCACAAATATGGGGGAGCTGCTGGTGGTAATTTTTGCCCTTGTTGGTACTTTGGGCACTGCCCCACGAATGCAGCTATGTCTGCATCCAATCCCGGTCACCAGACATAATGTCTTGACAACATCTTCATTTTGGAAACCTCTGGATGACCCTGGTGGAATTCAGCCAGTATCCTGTAGTGACTTTGCTTGGGACAATTGCTGTTGCTCCCCATAATAATATGCCATCTTCTAATGTGATCTGGTCTCTCTGGGTCCAAAAGAGTTCGGCTCTGGGTGTGATGGCCCTTTGGTATTCCCCATTATCACCAGTTGTTCTGGTTTTGCCAGGACCAGATCTTTCTGGGTCCAAAGTCTGATATTATCAGCTGTGACTGGAAATGTATCCAGAAAACTTTACCGTTACGGAGTCTTCCAGGCACAGTGTCACTGGTGGTCTATCTGCGAGTGGGAGGTGGTTCACTGCATCTGCATTTGCTATTTGGCCTACCAGATGGTGTTCCAACTTGTAATTATTCGCACTTAGTATTAGCTTCAAGCCAAACTCAGCAGTGGGCTCTATGGGCGATACTGCCTTGTCCTCTTTAAGTAAACCCAGCAGGGGTTTATGGTGTGTAATTACAAATTTCTGTCTGTAAAGATATTGGTGGAACTTCCTGACTCCAAATATAACCATTAAACCTTCTTTCTCCTTCTGGGTGAATTTACTCTCTCTGCATTATCCAAAGTCCTGGATGCATGTACTATTGGGCATTCATCTCCATTGGGCCATCAGTAAGCCAATACTACTCTGATGGCATATGGGGAGGCATTGCATGTCAATAGCAGATCTCACTTGGATCATAGTGTGCCAAAACCTTACAGGGTGATAGCTGTTTCTTCACTTCCCTGAGAGCTACACCTTGATCATTTCCAAGGCTGACACATTTTTAAGAGTTGATGCAAAGGTGCCAGGATGAAGGTCAGGTTGTGTATGAACTTTCCATAATAATTTATCAGCCCAAGGAAAGGCCTAAGCCCTAGTAGAGACCTGGGAGCAGAGGCACCTTTGATCGCCCTCACTTTATCTTCTAATGTGTGTAACCTAGTCTTGTCGACTTTGTAGTCCAAGTAGGTCACTTAGGGTGCCTGTAACACACAATTTTCCCTCCTAAGGCATACGCCTGCCTGGGAGAAATGTCTAAGGACTATGTCCAAGTTCTTTCTAAGTGCTCCTTATTGGTCTCGCCTGTTATTAGCATTTCATCTAGATAAATGGTGATCTGGGGTAGAACTTGTAAAATGTTTTCCATCATCCGCTGAAAAATGCACAGGCTGACGATACCCCAGGTGGCAGCCTCCATATATTGGTACAAACCCTTGTGGATATTAATTGTGGTATACTTCTGGGAATCCTCGTCTAACCGCAATTGCAAGTATGCGTGGCTCATGTCCAGCTTCATGAAGGACAGCACCCCCACCAGCTTAGCATGTAAATCCTCTGAGAGGGATTGGGTATTTATCCAGCTGCAAAAAGTGGCTTACCGTTTGTTTAAAATCCCCATAAAGGCAAATGTGCCATCGGGCTTCATAATGGGTATGACTGGTGCTGCCCATTCTGCAAACTGGACTGGTTCGATGATTCCTTCACTTTCCAGCCTCCTGATTTCTGCCTCTACATTAGCCCGTCAGGCAAATGACACTGGGTGGAACATTCTGAATCGTGGAATTGCTTCCCAGTCAACAAGCAAGGTGGCCTTGGCTCCCCTTAATAGTTCCTAGACATTCCTGAAAAATATCCGGGTATTTAATTAGGACTTCACTCAGGCAGCCATTTTCTAATCAAAATGTTGAGCCAATTCAAGTGAATCTTTCTCAACCAACTTTGTCCCATCAAGCTTTGGCTCAAGCCTTTTGCTACAATCAATGGTAACTGAACCACCTGCTTCTCATAAGAGACTGGAACCAAAGTTGTACCCTTAATCTTAAAGGTTCCCCAATATAGGTTCTCAGTCTAGCCAAGGCCTTGTGCAAATTTAAATGTTGGAGTCCACAGCAAATCTTGTTAAAGACTGGTTCTGTAATCACTGATACAGCTTTGCTGGTATCAACTTCCATGAGAACTAGGTGACCATTAACCAGACATTTATTTTGATTGGTTTCAATTTGAAAGTTGCAAAGCAATTTAACTGTTCCAAACTAGATGTAGGTGGAATTTCCATGGTGTGCACTCTCCCTTTATTTACACGTGAAGAGTCCTTTATTTACAGCTCTCTCCAAGCTAGCTCTCAGTGAACAGAGCCTCTGATACTCCTGTTTATGTCGATCAGCCAGGGCTCCCTGATTGGGGCTATTAAGCCAGTCAAACCAGGGAACTCATTCTGAGGGGTCCACCTGGCTGACCTCGTTACAATCACTACAGTGATGTTTTATAACTCTCGTGTTGGAGATTTCTTTCATCTCTCCCATGTATTTTCAATCTTAAGAAACCTTTGTTAAAATTTTCAGTTATAAAACAGTTTCATTTCATGCAGATCAGTTTTTGACATGAATGTGGTTTAGTTCTGGTGTCTAATGGTATTCGTGTGATGAGGATCTTTGAATCCTATCTTTTAGCAGTTGGAAGTTTTAAGTATTTCTCTTGTAGTTAACATCTTATTTTCCTGCTTAGGTGTGATAGTGCCATGTCTCTTTCTAGGCCTATTTGAATTTGAAAATTAACTTTTCTAGCTTTTCCTGCAAAATGAGATGGAGTGTTCAACTCCTTGTTCTGCATGGATTTTTATCTTTAAATGTTTTTAGTATTCATGTGTGTCCTACCTAACTACTACCTTTTATTTTTCAATCAAACGTATATTTCCAATCTGATATCATTACAATTTTACTAAATTTAAAGGGGCTATATAAAGGTGATTTATTGTTTGTATTGCCTCCAGGAAGCTGGTGACAACACCCAGTTCTGCTGGAGGAACCTCTTCTCGTGTATCAACCTGCTGCGTATCCTAAACAAGCTGACCAAATGGAAACACTCGCGTATCATGGTGAGACTGAAGATTAATTTGTTTTATGTGTCTGTTGGTTACGCCACAAGCAGCATCAATAATAACGGCACATCTACCATGAAACATCTGTTTAAATAGTACTTTTTTTTTCAGATGTGCTGCAGCTTCCCCACCTCCATCACCCCTCTTCTGTCACCATAGAACAGTCCTGGGTCAGACAGTCTGGCCTTTATACATCCATTATCTCTAACTAAGATCACTGAAATAAAGAAATAGTTGGTTTGCATTATAGATCTATAATTTGTGGAAAATGAACCAGTCATTACTAGTGCTGATCCATTGCCTATACCATGCTGACCAATGTGTGCTCAATGTCTAATCTCATTGTCACCCTTCAGACCTGGTGCAGAAAAGCCTAAGTGACACATACACCTTCACACACAACCCTGAAAATGACTTTTGTGAAATACCATGGTTGCGAATGACACTGACCCTGTTAATTTTTTTTTAGTACAGAATGTTCACTGATTCAACCTTTGATTGCCTACCTCTTCTGATTTATCTCTAGATGCTTGTAGTTTTCAAGTCAGCACCAATTTTGAAGCGGGTGCTCAGGACAAAACAGGCAATGCTGCAGCTCTATGCACTGAAACTGCTCAAATTCCAAACCAAGTACCTGGGCCGTCAGTGGAGAAAGAGCAACATGAAGATCATGTCTGCCATCTACCACAAAGTGCGACACCGCCTCAATGACGACTGGGCGTATGGCAATGGTATGGCAAAGATCATTTGACCCCCATGTGGGCAGTTAGCCTAGATCAACGTTGCACACAGCAGACTGGGCCAGTAGTAATGCAGGACATTGGGGCTCCTAACTAGGCACTCACTCACTCTAGGGGAGAGAGCAGTCAATTTGCACGCTAAGATCACACTAAAATAGCTTGGATCACCTGGTTTAGCAATGCTGGTTGAGGGATAAATATTGGTTGGGTTTATAGGAGAGCTCGCATGCTGCTTTTCCAATGGTGGTTGTGGATTCTATAAAGTCCACCTGAGAGTAGAGAGGGGACCTCAGTTTAGTGGCACCTCTGACAGTGCAGCATTGTCCATTTAGAAAGTTGTTCACTCTTTTCTGAATAATTGTGTGCTCAGTTCTGACATCATCCACATAATTCTAGGATCTCAAGTAACTTCCAAGCCCAATAAGTTGTGACATCAGTAACTGTCTTCCTACAGATATTGATGCTCGACCCTGGGACTTCCAGGCAGAGGAGTGTGCACTGAGAGTCAATATCGAGATGTTCAACAACCGGCGCTATGGTTTGAACCACAATGACCTGGAATTTGCTCCAGTGGACAACTGCCTTCAAAGTGTCCTGGGCCATCATGTCTCGCTGCCAGAGGATTTCCGCTACAGCTATGAACTCTGGTTGGAGAGGGAAGTTTTTGCCCATCCCATCCGCTGGGAGGATCTTCTACAGCCTCTGGCTTAATGAGAACAGCTCATCTCCCGAGGAGATGCATCTATGATGGCCTGTCTTCAAAAGACTTCTTTCAATGAAAATCCCATCTCAGCAGTCGATTGGTGTTTGGTTTTTAACGTCATTTCATGGAGGGAATGATTTTACAGCTTTAGTTATTCCCCAATGACCCCCTCAGAGCCTGTTTATTGCCACCCAAGAGCCTGTGGTGACTGAGTGTTATATGCCCATATCTTGGTCTGGAATTGATCTCTTATGTCCAACTGGACCAGGAGATAAGGGTGCCCTCTGACTCCCTATTCAACCCACTTGACTGACCGATCGAGCCCTGAATGGATCTTGATGTGTGTTTTACTGTTGAAGGCTTGATTAGAGCAATGTATACTGAATTATAGGGGAGGAACTGGGTTCACATTCACTGAATCACCTTAATATGGGGGGGTAAGAACAATGTTGCACCACCTTCCCACCCACATCCCCCATCCCCAACCAATTATATTAATGATGTTTATTTCAAGGTGATTTACAATCAAAGTGCACTGTGAAGCTAACACAATGCATTGAACGGTAGTTGTGCTGTAAAGCTCTGTGGATCGGAGCCTTTGGATGGTTTTACTGCAGAGCTTTGTGTTCCTGTCTTCTATGGGATCTGCTGCTGCTGCTCATTAAAACTGTGCCACCCAGCAGTGCTGGCCATGATGAGTCAGAGGAGATAATGGAAGTGTGACAGACAGTAAAGTTCATGATGTACTTTTAGATGATGTCTGGGAAACTTAGATGGGCTGTACTAATGGTCCCTCCTATGAATGAGTAAGTTTTTTTTTGAATATCCCTGATTTATTTAAATACATAAGCAGTCTGGCCCATAACTTGTTAACACAATATTGTTTGTGTCCAGGCCATAGCAGAATTGTGGCTTTTGCAGCTTAGCTGAAGCAGTGTACCAACTAACCACCTGGAATGGCCTTTGGGGCTTCAGATCAATGTCCCATCCAAAGCATTGCAGCTCTGCCTCAGTGCTGCACTCTGTCAGCCTAGATTGTGTTGAAGTCCCTGGAAGGGGACTTGAACCCACAGCCTTCCAGCTTAGATGCAAGGGTGGTACCCCTGAGCCAAGGCTGACACTGTTGCAACAACTGGTTAGCTTGAGGCAGACAGCGACACATGGTCAATTTTTTATTTCATGGCAATAAATCCTTTTAAACAGCAAACAGTCCACAGAATCTACTTCGAGTCTGTACAAACTAGGAGAAACAAAATTCATAATTGAAACTGCAGCATGGAATCATGGAACATTTACGGCCGTTGTATCAGCAACAGCCAAAAAATGAGTCCAACAGCCTAATTTGACTTTCCAGCTTTTGGTGCATAGCCCTGCAGTAAATGGCACTTGAGGTGCATGTTGAGACACTTTAAATGAGTTAAGGATTTCTGACTCTACTACGCTCTGAGATCATGAGTTCCAGACTCCTACTGTCGTCTAGGTGAAAAAAGTTTCCTTATCTTGCCTCTAATCTTCAAATAACAGCAAAACATTACAAATGCTGGGGACCTTAAATAAAATCCTGAGTACAAGAGAAACTCAGGTCTGATTGTATCTATAGAGAGAGAAACGGAAAGAGTGAAGAGTCATATTGGACTCAAAACATTGACTATGTAGATCTAAGCAGCATCTGTGGACAGAGAGAAACAAACTTTATCCAGTACTTTGTTTTTATTACAGGTAGCTCTCCTATAACGTGATAGTTGTGTTCTTGTGTAAAATTGCCATAGAAAATTGCGTTATAGGAAAATCGCTATACCTGTGCAGCAGAAAGCTTGCATTATCCAAACAGTGTCCACTATTCATCAATCGCATTACAGCCAATTTTCATTAACAAAACACACATTATAGCAGAACTACCTGTACTCCCTGATCATTCTCTCAGTCATTTTAAATCTGTTACCTCCCCGCACCTCCTCCAATCCCTGGCTAGTCCCTAACCTCTCTACTGAGGTAAATGGGCCCTTCCCATCCACTTTGTTCAAGCCTCTTCAATTTTGCACATCTCCTGGTAAATGAAACAGTACTATCTCTCCAGCAAAAAGCCGTGAATGGAGTATAGTTACATAATATAACTTGGGCATAAAATCATTCCCAGTTACTGGACAGAATTGATCGACTGGTTCATTCAGCTATCACTTCCATCTTTTTGCTGGAAAAAAGTCTCCAAATCTGCCCAAAGATTGATGAATATTATAGAACCATACAGTGCTGAAGGAGATGGTTTGGCCCATTTTGTCTGTTTTCAGTTTTTGAATGAACTATCAAATTAATCCTGCTCTCTTCCCCCCCCCCCCCCCCCCCCACCCACCACCATTGCTTTATAAGTCTGTCATCCTAACAATTATTCAATTCCCTTGCTTCCACTAACCTGTCTGCATTAAGATCCAGATCATCATATCCTGCCACTTAGAAAAATACTTCCTAACACTGACCTATCTGACGTTTATCTTAAATCTGTCATATCTAGATACTGACCATTCCCATACACAATTGCACACAGCACAAAGCCTTAATCCCTTCCAAACTCAGTGAGAGCAGTTTCTTTACTCTGTCAAAACCCTTGATGTTGAATACCTTTGTTAAATCTCCACTTTTCAATCTTCTCCAAGGAAAACAATTCCAATGTCTTAACTTTCTGCACATAAATGATTTCTTGTATCTCTGCTCCCAGTTAATCTTCTGCATCCTCGCTTTGACATCCTTCTTATTATGTGACACTCTGAAATGGACAACGTTCTCAAGCTGGGGCCTAACCAGAGAATTGCGAAGTTTTATCTTTGATTAATTTTCATACCACCATGTGTAAATTGTGGAGTTAAGCATTAGCAATGTATTGGAGAGGAGAAGATACCTTTTGAATAAATGATTTTACAACATGCTGTATGTAAAAGCGCTACACAATCTAAAACACTCAGTCTTTAATATTATGAAACAAATAATACTTCGTTGAACTAGACTGTTTTGGCACAGTGCTAACAGACCATTATTCCCACTGGTCCATGCAGGTGGCTATGCTGCTCTGTCACCTTTTGATTCCTTTCTCCCAGAACCGTTAATCTAACTACCCCTTTAAATGTAGCTGTACTATATTCAATTGCACCCTGTGTTGGAGAGTTCAACATTCTCATTGCACTCTCATTTAGGACTTACCCTACAAAGGGTTGACATGCAGGCAACATTTCCACATCAAATCCTTTGATAATCGTAAAGAGCACTTATCAAAAGATTCTTTGCTCTCTTTTTCTTAACCAATGCTGCAACTCATCCTGTGATGTCATGCTTCCCACAATGCACTATTCCTATTCATGATGTCACAGCAGACATGAGGTGAAGGATCTACCTTCCAACCAGCTATTCTGGAGCCATTAAAACAGGTCAACTGGTTGGCTGGGAGGTGGTAAGTGTATAGATTGTGGAGACATTTATTGAGTCATTCAGTGGTGTAAACAACTGAAGATCAATGAGATGGAAAATGAAAATGCAAATTGCCACATCTGGGATGTGGTGAGGTGACAAAAAAAATCTTGATTTGTTTAAAATCTGTTCTTCTGGTTTTATGCATGAAACAACAAAATTTAAGAATTGCACTCATTTTGGGATTGAAAGATCTCTAGGCCTGTCAACACAAATAGCACACAAGCTTATTAAAATTTACTTTATGGAAGGAATTTATTCAGTCCATTGTATTTGTCATAAAACAATACAAAACTGTTTGCATCCCACTGTTCTTATTCTGCTTTAAATTTATATTCAATTTCCCCTTTAGTCACATAATCTTTCCACATTGAGTTCCATTCCTTTCTGGATTCTCTTGCTTCACTTCTTTAGTGACTATTTTAAATTGTCAATTGTTTCATAACCAAAGAAAAATTATCCCTATTCACACTACCATAAATTTTTTATTTCAAGAAATTTTGTAAAATCTTCTCCATCAATGGAAGTCACCCCAGAATTTTCCATTTCTATAGGAGACAAGCAGTCAACCATTAATTTCATGTCTGTTCCATCATTCAATGACATCATAGGTCAGCTGCACCTCTCCTACATGTCACCTGCCTTAGCTCCCTCTCCCCAGATGTCCTTACCTATTGATTTCTGCCTTGCATTGACACTCAGGGACTGTGAGAAGGGCTTCCAAGAACTATATCTTTGAGAGGTAAGACTACAGCCATCAGAGGGTTTTCCCTTGTCCGTGCTGACTTCCAGTTTTGCTGGAAACTTCTTAGTTACTGTCTTAATATTGAGGGCAGTCAGGAACAGTGAGACTATCAACAATTGTGACCATTGCTCAATCAAGGGCTTGATGGAAGTCTGAAGTCAAGTGTTTCTAGCTGAACCATTGAGCAGATTATTGGAGACAGTCATGTGTGATGACATTGTTGATAATTCACTGCATTTGTTTATTGATGAATGAGAACAAACAAAGCATTATTTGGTTTGTTAGAATTATTCTGTAAGACAAAGATTTCATAGTGTCACATGTTCTTGTTAGCTTGACTTATCCTAACCAAACAGGTACTGTAAGAATGAAGGTCAGTGTAAGCACTTTATTACTAAAAGTGAGAAAGAAAATGATCAACATATTTATCCATCTCCACATTTCTACATTGCAACCTTAATCGGTGATTTTCTCCCTTCAGCCCAAGGATGGGTTTCAATCTTTTCCATCAAGCGTTTCAACATCTTGGTCAATGTTTATCCCTAAAACCACTATATCTAAGTTTTATTTTTGTATTACACAGTTTTGTACAGCTCATTTCCCTTGTTCAATTGAGACATTGATTGCCAGTACCTTTCCTTCAATCAAGGGATCAAAACAGTTGTGGTCTGATTAGTGCATTGAATAGTTTGAGCAAAATCATCCTACTTTTTATATTACATTCTCTTTGATATAAATGTCAATGTTCCATTTGCCTGGACTATTACCTACTGAACTTTTGTGTTTGCTTCTTGTGATTCAGGCACAAGGAGCTCAAATCTCTGTTTTGCAGATTTCTGCAGTTTTTCTCCTTTTCATCTGTTTTTCCTGCCAAAGTGCATAATCTCACGTTTTTCCCACATTATATTCCATCTATCAAGCTTTTGCCCAATCACTTATCCTGCCTGTATCCCTCCGTCTACTGTAGGTCATCCTCACCACTTGCCTTCCCACCTATTTTCATGTCATCTGCAAACTGTGCCACTGTGTATTCATTTGTGTCATCCATGTCATTAATATAAATTGTAAATAATTGCAGACCTTTAACTGATCCCTGTGGCACTCCATTGGTTGCAGGTTGCCCCCTTTATCCCAACTCTGTCTTCTATTAGAAAACCAATCCTCCATTCATGCAGATATACTACCCGCAACACAACGGGTTCCTTTCTTATAAAGTAACCATATTTGCAGTACCTTTATCAAACATTTTTGGGGATGTATATATATTACATCTGCCTTTTGGCCTTCATGAAGCCATGCTGACTCTGCTTCATTACATCATGTGTTTCTAGATGCTCAACTATAACATCCTTTATAATACACTGTCAAGTTTTCCCAATGACAGATGTTAAGCTAACAAGCCTAACGTTACCTTTTTTTGTGTTTTTTTTAAAAAAATTATTTACGCATTGGCTAGGCTGGGAGTGTATGGTAACATCCACTCCTCTGTCAGCATGGTAAAAATGTGCCTTTCTCCTTCCTTTTTTCAATATGGGTGTGACATTGGCACTTCTCTAATCTTCTGGGTCTTCTCCAGAATGTAAGGATCATCTGAAGATTAACATTATCTCTATACTTCCTTTAGTATCTTACGATCCATCTCATTAGGTTCCGAGGGAGTCAATAGTCATATCAGTTTGCCTGATGTTTTTCCTCCAGTGATAGCTGTTGTATTTATTTCCCATTTTGAAATGCTTTTGGTATCCAAAATAAATATTTAAATCCTCCACCATTTCCCAGCTTCTTATTATTTCCCCAGACCCATTCTCTAACTGGCTTATGTTCATTTTGGCCGTCACTCTCCCTCTTTAATATAAGCAAAGGTCTTCTCTCTGTTTTTATATTGCTTCCTAGTTTACCTTCATAGCTTTTTTTTTCCCCTCTTCATTTTCTTTGTTTTTTTTATTGGCTTTTAAAATGTTCCCAATTCTCATTGTTAATGTCCTGCCTGTTTTACATGCCCTATTTATCTTCTGATTTATTTTCTGTCCTACAGAACAGCTAGTACCTACTAACTACACCCAATGATGTTGTCTTCCCCACGTTATTTCTTACGTCCACCCCTGTGGATTCTACATCTTCCAAACCATGAAAATGTCTAGCTGTTGTACTTATTCCAACCCATTTCTAGCAAAGCTTCCCCTCTGCCCTTCCTTTCCTGCCTGTCCTTTTGAAAAGTCACATGCCCCTGACTATTTAGTTCTCAGTTTTGATCTCCTTGTAACAGTATTTACATAATGCCTATAAGATCATACTCATTAACCTCTTTGTGCTGTTAATTTAATTTTGTTCTGAATACTACATACATTTAAGTAAAGACCCATTAATTTTGCCTTTCTTTTGCTACCTTTTTTCCCCTATTGACCTTTTTGCTTTTTAAAATATTTTTGCACTCTCTGGGTATCATCGTATATCTTTTGCTTTGTAAACCTACACTGACCGTCTCTCAAATACTCCCTCTTCTTCCCTCCCCCCTACCCCACCCAGGTAGTAATCCGAAGAAACCTTTTGAAGATTATGCTTTTTAGTTTAGCTCCTAACTGTCCAAAATCTTTCTGCAAAGCCTCCTTTCTAGCCCTAACATTGTCGTTGGTACCAACATGGACAACTTCTACTAGATTCCACTCCTTCCCCCTCCAAGTTCCTCTATGGCCCCGAGGAGATGTCCTTAACCCTCTTACTGGGCAGGCAACAGAGTCCTCCAGAGTCACGTTCACACCTGTAGAGAACGGTCTCTATCCCTCTAATTATACTGTCCCTGACCGCTACTACTACATGCCTATTGTTGCCCCCATTTGAATGGCTCTGTAGCACAATGATGTGGTCAGTTTGCTTATCTACGCTGGGGCTTGCGAGAACCTTGTAACTTTTAAACTACTGCAGGGGTCAAAGCTCCTCAAAAGTGTAGACAGTGTCTAGACTTGCACTGACAAGTGGGAAATAACATTAGTGCCACACAAGAGTCAGGTAATTACCATCTCCAACAAAAGAGAGAGTCTAACCTTTGTCCCTTGATATTTAATGGTAATGCCATTGCTTAATCCCCCACTATAACATTCTGCAGTTACTATTGACCTGAAACTGAACTCGACTAGCTATGTAAATACTGTGGCTATCGTAACAGTTCAGAGGCTACATGTTTTGCAATGAATAACTCGCCTCCTGACTCCCCAAAGCCTGTCCACCATTTACAAGGCACAAATTAGGAATGTGATGGACTACTCCACGTTTGCCTGGATGAGTGCAGCCTAATAAACATTTAAAAAGCCTGACACTATCCAGGACAAAGCAGCTTGCTTCATCAGTACTATGTCTGTAACCATTTCCACCACCACTGACTTTCAGTAGCAGCAGTCTATAGTCTACAAAATGCATGACGGAAATTTTCACGGCTCCTTTGGGCAGCATTAACATCTGGAAGGACAAGGGCAGCAGGTACGTGGGAACATCACTATGTGCAAGTTCCCCTCAAGCCACTTACAATTCTAACTTGGAATTATAATCACCGTTTCTTCAGAATCTCTGAGCCAAAATCTTGGAACTCCCTCCCTAATGGCATTATGGGTCTATATAGAAACATGGACTGCAGTGATTCAAAAAGGCAGCTCGCCACCCACATTCTCAAGGGCAACCAGGCATGGACAATAAGTGTTGGCCCAGTCAGCAATGCCACATCCT